CTAAACGCGATCTAATTGATTAACTTTATTCGTTAATAACTCTGTAAATAATGGTCTGAGCCAAAATTGAAAGAGGAACTTTTAGTTCAAAATTTCATTCTCTTTCACACCTTGAAATATTAATTAAGCGTTACGGGACACCCTGTATATAAAAAAATATCATTTAAATGTATATAGTAAAATTATCCGGCTGCCCGTTGCCATCTGCAACAAAGGAGACGTATATTTCAAATGTGTAAAAAGATAAAGGAGGAAGATAGCTATTTAAAAAATACTCATGTTATTTGTCGTAAGCAACTGTTCTTTCTCGCGGGCTCGCCTCCTCCCGCAGCGGGCTCTCCCGCGAGCTTGCCCTCGCGCTGCTGTCCCCCGACGCCTCCTCCCGCGGGCTCTCCCGTGGGCCCTCCCGCGGGCTCGCATCCTCCCACGGACTTCGCGAAGGCGTCCTCGCGTCCCAAGGCACCTCAAATTGCGGGTTTACCGCCACCCACGGAGGCACCCTCGCCCTCGCTTCGTTGCCATCGTTGTCGTCGTCGTCGTCATCGTCATCGTTACTATTGAGATCATTCTGAAAAAAAAACATCGTCTTTATCTGATAGTAAAAACATCGATGTTATCTGAGAGTAATTGCTTTTGTACTTACCAGGAATTGTCGACACTCCTCAGCCTCCACCCTCTGACGTAGGCCTGCCATCCACACATTCCTCTTGTCACTGTCCAACATAAGACTCCCAAATCCGTGTCATATATACACAATCTGATTTTCAGCTATTATGTTCGTAACAGTATAAATCTTCGTCAAATCGGTCATGGTCCCGTAAAAGCGTTTTGTTGCCAATTTCGCGTTCGCGTAGAAGTATTGCCAGCGTTGGCATGCACTTGGTTAAACGAAGTCGATGCATGGTGAACTGACACTAAAACTCAAAATGCAGTCAGAGATGTTCGTACCTGAAAAAGATAAAAATTAAATGCGCTAGCATTCAAACACATGAGTAGCTATTATAGGCCGGTTCTAACTAGTGAGCTCCGAGGGGGGGTGAGGGGCAGGGGGGTCCGCGGGGGTCCGCGGGGAGGGGGAAGCCGCGGGGAGGGGGAAGCCGCGTGGAGAGGGAAGCCGTTCAGAACGTTCACGGCCTGATGCGGGGTCCGCGGGGAGGGGGAAGCCGCGGAAAGCCGCTCGCTCAGCTGTCCTGACCGCGAGGACGTAGGTGCGGGATGCGCGGTGAGAGGGGAACCGCGTTGTTGGTCCGGGATGCGCGGGGGCGGGGGAACCGTGTTGTGGGTGCGGGATGCGCGGGGAAGAGGGAACCGCGTCGTAGGGTGGGATGCGCGGAGACGGGGGAACCGCGTCGTAGATGCGGGATACGCGGAGACGGGGGAACCGCGTTGTTGGTCCGCGGGGGGAGGGGAACCGCGCTCGCCGCGTTCGCCGCCGCGTTCGCCGCCGCCGCCGCTCGCGTTCGCCGCCGCCGCCGCCGCCGCCACCGCCGCCACCGCAGCCACCGCCGCCACCGCCGTTGCGCACGGGCCCCACCCGCACGTACGCAAAGAGGAAAAGGAGGAGAAGAAAATAGAATAGAATTAAAATACGAAAAAGTTTTTATTTTAAAATTTAATTAATGTAAAAATATATAAAATATGATTTAAATTGATATACACTGCTTAAAAAAATTATGGCATAGAAAAATTTTGAGCAAAAATTGGTCAACTTTAGTTAACGGTAACTCCGCGAAAAATCATCGTAAAATGATGAACTTTTTTTCAAATGAAAGCTTGAAATCTCTACTTTAAGATACTGTGAGTTGATTTTAAATTTAATGCACCCCTGTTGCTGTAAACTTTTAAATCTGAGAGCAGTTTGTCACACTAAAAATTGCAAAGTTTGAACGAGTGCACGGACTTGCTAAAATTTTTTCTGGGGATGCGATTTCCAGCGTCATAAAGTTGGAATCTTTCTCTTTAATTTGAAAAAAAAATCAAGTTGCTACGATTTTTTTTCACAAAGTTACAGCATTTTGAAGTAACCCTTGTATTTTTCTCATGCATGTTCGGCATTATCCGATGTGCACTATAGAGAGGTTGGCAAACGAATTTTGCACATTGTGTGAGTGCGAACGTATGTAAAACATACACACATACGCACACGGTGTGCAAAATCCGATCGCCAACCTACCTATAGTGCACATCGGGTAATGTTGATCATACATGAGAAAAATACAAGGGTTACTTCAAAATGCTGTAACTTTGAAAAAAAATCGTAGCGACTTGTTTTTTTTCAAATTAAAGAGAAAGATTCCAACTTTATGACGCTGGAAACCGCATTCCCGAGAAAAATTTTAGCAAGTCCGTGCATTCGTTCAAACTTTGCAATTTTCAGTGGCAAACATGCTCTCAGATTTAAGAGTTTACAGCAACAGGAATGCATTAAATTTAAAATCGATTCACAGTTTCTTAAAGTAGAGATTTCAAGCTTTCATTTGAAAAAAGTTCATCATTTTACGATGATTTTTCGCGGAGTTACCATTAATCAAAGTTGACCAATTTTTGCTCAAAATTTTTCTATGCCATAATTTTTTTGAGCAGTGTATATTAATAAAACATTTTATTAATCCCTCTCAATATTATTGACTAGTGGTACAATACAAACACATTGCGGTATGGAACAGATACACACTTCTGAGCTATATTGCTTGGCAGACCACAAACAGTGCGTTCACTTTTCTGACACACTAATGCCAGTTCATTTGATAAAATATTTAGATCTCGATCCTCACTAAGATTTTCATCAAGTATATCAAATTCTTTTCCTAACACAACACAAACTTCTTTATAGGATTCAACTATTTCTACAACAAGAATATGTGTAATAGAAAGAATACGACCATCATTCATTTTTACAGTACTGTTATCTCTGACTTTAAGAGCATTATAGCAACTTGCATGATACACTGTTCCTTGAAAAATCAATCTTCTGAATGACTGTGCAAATGATTGAATATTATTTTGAATAATTTGTTGAATGGAAACTTTTTCAATTAAAGAAAGTTTGTAATATTTTTCAGGCGCTCCAAATAATCTTAAACCAACATCAAAATTTTGAGAAAATTGATTTGAACAATACTTAGACATCAAGGAATCAAATAACTTTTTCCCTTCATGAGACGTTTCAGGATATAAAAAAATTTTAGATCCAAAGTCTAAAATATAACGTAGTCTTAAGAATGTTCGACATACTTGCTGTGGCATATTACGCGTTCCAATTATTAATCTATTTAATACACCATTAAAATGTTCATATGGGAAAGTAGAGGATGCCCAAAGTCCCCCGAAATTTTCAATTGCACGAGGTATATGAAGGAGAAGGTGAACATTAAACGTATACAAGTATTCACAATCTGGATAAAGTATTGCAATTTCTTTTACAAATTTGTTTAAAGCCCTCTTGGCCTTCATAGCTTCCTCTTGTGTAAACTTTTCTCTCAAATATATTGACATACTATATACCAGAAGAAACCAATGTTTAAGATATCTTGTAGGTAAAAGTTCTTTAAGAGAAGATAATGAATAATACAAAAGAAAGTGTCGAAGTTCTGATGCTTTCATTAATTTTAATTCATCAAGATCACGAGGTGGTCTTGTTATTTCTACAGGAGGTAAAATGGATAGTAATCTTTTCGTCAAAATAGTACGCTTATGCTTATTCAGATACCCTTCAACTCCTTTATGAGTACTATTAGTCCAGTGTTTAGAACAACACCCTCTAAAACACTATGCATATAGTCTGGCACAAAAGAGGATATGATATTAAAAACTGATAGTGTAAGCAATATTGATGGAAATTTTACTCCATCATGTTTTTGCCTATTACCATTTTGTTGATTGGCTTGTTCCAACTGCCGAAGAGCATTAAGATGTTGAGGCAATGTGCGTGATTTACTTTTCTCTCCAATATAAACTCGTGCATTGCCTTTATCTCTAGCAATACTTATTCCTTGATGCAAACAAAATGAGCAACCATAAGTACCATTGAATTGTTGAATGCCCTGAAGTATTGGACGTGCAACAGAATCAACTGAAGCTAGTAGAGTGTGTACTTTTACATTTAATAGATCATTTTGACCGTTTAACTTACAAGTCAAACCTTCAGAATGAAGGAAATTTAGTTCTTCTACAAAGGGTTTTAGAAAAGAATTAATATAAGGCTTCTTCTTACCAAAATACAACCCACACAAAATCATATTATCTCTACGTGTACGGTAAGGTAACTCATTAATACAAGCTTGAATGGGCCACATTGACATTTTGGCA